AACTACACTGAACTAGTACATGTGGAATTTGCTGCATGGAATATGTCAAATCTACAAAAATGATGTCTCAAAAATAATGAAGAGCATTTAGTGAAATTTATTCATACGCATGAAAATGCACAAAAACATACGCATTACTTCTTGACAGCTCAGCGTCCAGTGTCCCACATCTTAGAAGAAGAATTTAGAGTATTTTCCAATTAAAAAAGTTTAAAAAAAAGAGAACCACGCCGTGAACAATGGATCAAAATCTATTGCCAGAAATGCGTTTCAGTTACCGAGCAAAATACACTACTGCAAATGAAAGCTCCGGAACAGGGAGCATCCAAACGCAGTAATCTTCTAACCAAAATGACTTTTTCTTTTTATTTTTTTTTTCACTTCTAATCTTCTAAATTTTTCTAAAAAAAAGTAAATCTTCTAAATTTCGCAACAATCAGTTTGTTATCATTTCGCAAAATAATTCAATAGTTCAATAACCAGTAAATACTTCATTTCCTCTGCACCAATTTTGGTTCCAAATTTTCAATTCGGTGCATTTTTCCAATCGCTTTCTTTTCGGGAAAAATCATCCTTCACTCACCCCTTTCGCTTCCCCCCTCCCCCAGCCTCTCCTCGCTCCACGAATTCAGATTAAGGCCTTTCACAAGGAGCAAAAAACCGGAAAAAACGAACCACCAAAGGTAGGGGTATGTCGGCTGCGTTCCAATTGTTCATCAGAAACGGAAGATCCGGGAAGAGAAACGTGTTTACCATGATTACTTGCTGCTGTTTGTCCAACTATAATTTGTGCTTGAAAAAGCATAGCTCTTTGTAAAATATCGTAGACACGACGCTCTATCAGTTTACTGTATTTTAACAATCTGTAAAAAAAAAAACAGTATAGAGGGATCAACTATAAATACCAGCAGAACCAAGAACATCCGGATATTCGGTCTGTGGTGGATTCCTTGTTAATAATGTTACTAGGATTCTGTGCTTGTGCTCCTCCCTGCGTTTAGAGCAAGCCAAAATTATCTCCACAGGTCATTCTGAAAACAATTGCTGCCAATAGTTTCTTCATGTCCGCCTCGTTGTTAGCCTTACGTCTTTGTAGCTCCTCTTGCGAATGACATTTCTACTAGTATTGTTAAATTTTGCTCGGAAATCACCCACAGCAATCAAGTACGTACACTAGACGAGTGTGCGGATTCGAGCTTAATATGTAATTCTTTCAGTTCCCTCGTCATCGCTGGTCATCATAGGAGCGTAAATTTGGATAATGAAAGTTCCACTAGAATCTAATTTAGGTGGAATTATGCCGACTCGCGACCTGTGAAGCCAATAGATGATTTGTGAAGACTTACTTCCCGCTGAGAATAAACCCGATTCTTTTCTCTTTCTATCGCCAGCGCTTAGCAAAATCGTTTTACCATCCGCCCAAACTACATTGTGTTCAGAGTTCCGTGTTTAAGACACGCGGAAGACGTTTCCCCGGGAGAGATGGGTCGTGAGTTCATCCCACGATAGCATTTTACAGTAATAGATGCAATATCGAAAAGCCCCGACTGTTCCATTGTGGTATCTTTCTGAGATTTTTTTGCCAGTTTCATGTCCCATTCGCATGGAGAAAATAAAAAATAGAATAAAATTATCAGTTTCCAGCTCTTTTATTGGAAGAAGCGCGCCTGCTAATGAGCATGGCAGAAATGAGAAGAGACATACTCGTTGTGTGCAAAGACCAACTGATCATCGCTTTTTGCGTATAAAATTTTTCTCGACGAATCAATTCGTGCACACATTTCACCACTTGAAATCAAATCAACAAGCTCATCCTCCAACTGAAACATTTCTTATCAGAGATTACCAACAGTTTGTAATGGCTCGGCACAATCTGTGCATGTAGCCATCGAAAAATTGTGCAGTTTTAGTTAAAAAATATACCTCATCAACAGTGACGCGGAAGACGAGTGCCATTTTGTTCATATTAATCGTTGCATATGGCGTAAAGTACTGCACAATAGCACGTCGACGAATCAGCTGATATAACTGCTTCACATGCATCCACAGATACATGTTCAACAGAAGTTCGTCGTGAAGCTATAAAAAGAAAAAGAACAAAAACAAAATGCAAAAATGAGCCTATTTGTGAAGGCTCCACGCCAAAATCAAGATTTCCCCCCATCCGTCTCAACGATAAAGTGTCCAGCAATGGCCATCAAAAAAGTAAATATAAGCATAAGAATTCATAAATATCAGAACCTCGTCCATGAGATCGAAGCAAATTCCGAATTGACTTTTAACAAATTTCTGCACCAGCTCAACATATTTCGGCTCGGCTTCAAGAAATTTTCGGAAAACTTCGTTCTCCAAAACGTTTTTTTTCAATTCGGATCGATCGAAAGTTGCTAGTGCACAGATTGTGCCGAACATTACAATATCCTTAGCTGCCAACAATGTTGGGCAATCAAACGAATCGAATTCGATCTAGAATTTGCGACAAACTCCATGATTTGATGACTGAATACAGATTCCATTTATAATATGCGTCTCGCCAAATTAAAACTGATCCCGAATGCATTTTCGTAATAAGTTTGGCAACTCCAGATTTTAGCTTCATTTAACAACTGATTTTTGCGCATTTCCAATAAAATTCGACTCTTTCTTCGATCTTTTGCTTTGCAGTCAAAATTTGGAGAAATTTTTTTCTCGAACTGGAGAAAATTTGGAGTTTTATACAAGTCAAATCTATCCCTGACTACCCCTTTTTACAATGGTACTTCTCGGGTTCATTCATTTCTAAAAATAAAACAATTACTCTCCCAGCTGCAGCACATAGAGTTTGCCAAAATGCGCGGGTAATATATGGAATTTGTAGGTCTAAACGTACCTTCAGGCATTTCTTTGCCACCTGTCTATAGTTTTTGCTGTTCAAATGGCTCAAAGCCGAAACAGCGATGACTTTGGCGGTCGAAGTGGTGATAAGCTTTTTCATGTTTCTAGTTGCCGAAAGAGTGGAGTTTACGGCACGTGGGCCTGGTCGGCTTGTCGATGTTGCAGCAACGTTCTCTACTTCCACTGCTTCCACTGAAAAACATGGATGATTGAATCCAGCTGAAGGGCATTTGCTGTAGCACAGATGTCTATCACGAG